TCCTTATTTCTGTTATGTTCGCGCATTCAGTTAAATTTGAAATGCAGTTCAACAGGATGTGAGATATCTGAAATTCGTATCTGTCTCTTATTTCATAAATAATATAGAGTTGTTTTTCCTGTATCCATTGTCTCACAGGCTGATTGTTGCCAAGGATTTGGGAATGTTTAAATACATTCCTGATATAATCAACTACATAATCTTTCCAAGTCTCATAAAGCTGGTAGGAAAGGATAGAATGAGTTTAGTTTCTGCTAGCAAGCACCAGCAAGTTTTGTCTTGCTTTCCCCTCCACTTCCCCTTTGTGAGCCATCACAGCTGTGTTATTCCTCCTCTTCCAAGGAGAGGTTCCTGTTGCTTCTTGCTTAGGTTTACTTTGTCCTGCCAGCAGGTGTTGCTATTCAGAGAACTGGTTGTCCCCCTAACTCAAGACAAAATGAAGATGGAGGTGGTGTAATCCATGCTAATTTGCAACAATCAGATGGAAGATTAAATTTCTTCTACATCCCTCTGACAAAACAGACCTTATACTGCCCAAGCAAGATGACTGAAGAACGCGTGTGCGCCAACTCCTCTTCCTTCTCGCTCATTCTTTATCATTCTCTAGTTCTAGAATTGTATCATAAAAGACAGCCTGCTCTTTCTGCAAGGGCTAGATCACAGACTGGAGGAGAGCAGCAAAGCTGTATCGGTGGAAGCAGTAGAGGCTTCTCAGCTATCAAGCTGGGTAGCTCAGGAGCCTGAGATATGTGTTATCATTTTTGAGAGTGTTAATTGAAATCTTCAAAGTGAAGGCTGTCACACACACAAGCTAAAAAAGCAGCACCCCACTAGGGTAATAAGAAGAGTGGGGAGGAAAAAGAAAGTTACACACATGTACACCATGAACAAAGCTTTTCCCCAAAGTTTTCAAGTTTTGTAAATCAAACTACCAGAAAAAAAAGAGGGGTGGGGGAAGGTTTGGTTTTCTTTTTTTTAAAAAGGGTATTAGGCATCGCGCAAAAAATGAGAGCCTTCCCATAACTTTACATTGCCCTCCTTCATATTTGGTTGTCCATCTTCCCTCTGGACCTCTTAATATGCAGTGAGGACAACACTGCAAATCACATAGCACCAGGAACACCTTTTCCTTAGACCTTTTAGTAGGTATGTTCATTCACGACTTGCTTTAGTAGGAAATTGTGCAGACTAGTTTTGCCCAGTGGTGGTTCTGCTCAGCTGCCTGGCAGTATCCAAGCTCCATTTCTGCACAGCATCTAGGCCTTGCAGGAGACATTTTTCTTCAGGATTTTTCGTTGTCCCACAAAGAAACCTGTCCCTATGATATGTCCCAATCCTATGATTCTGTGAACTCAGGTATTTTTCCTTCAGGGACTCCAGTTTGTATGACAGTGACCAGGTGGCAGTAGGTATACCATGATTATGTTAGATCACCAGACCCTTCAAACTATAATTTGTTGGTAGAATTTCCAGACTCGGGAGCCAGGTTATCTTTTGTACTGCCAAGCTAGTTCTTTTTCTACTCTTATGTTTCCTGCTCGTTTTGGTTGCCATTCAAATGGAAGTTGAATTGAGCCATGACATGGCTCTTATGGCATACTTATACTTCCAGGCTGGAAGTGAAAGTTAATAATGCTTTGTTTGTTATCGTATTTTCTCACATACAGTACTGCCCCAAATATAACACATGCTTTGCTTTTGAAAGGCAGAATGGTGAAAACATTTCCAGAATTATGGCTGTGTGGACAGTGACAAAGCCTAATCCTCAGATGATTCACCCTCCCTTTCCTGTGCAACTAAAGCTGAATCTCTAGCTGCTGCAGAAGACTGATCTCCATAGGTGGATCAATGATTTTGAAAAGAGCTGAAGACTCTGAGCTAAAGAGACTGTGAAACAGAGACACCAGGAGCAGCTAGAGGACAACAAAATTGCCCTTAAGTAGAGCTGATCATTAACACCTGTAGAGTTGAGAACAGTGAGCCATTAAGTCAATTGATTGACTCCCTTAGTTGCCTGAACAGTAATACCACAGCTGTTGCACTGTGGCTCACTTTGAGGCTCTTTACTTGAACTTGAGGGATTTTCCCTTCTGAAGCATAAATATTCAGGAGAGAGTCTGGATTTTTTGGGACTCAACAAATCTGGGCTTTTCAGAGCTTGGGAAAACTCAGTCTTCATAGCACTTTTGAAAAGACAAGAATCCTATTTTGTCTTATGGCCAGAGAAATACTGCAAGCTCCCTAGAGGTCCAGGCTACTCAGGATTCTTGTAGCTGTGTCCTTTCATTTCCAGACTTTTTTTGCAGCACCTTCACTTTTCCCAGCTACTTAAGAATATGTTACTAGAGAGACATTGTCATGAGAATAATGGAATGAGTGGGGACTCATCCAAATATCACCAACTTTTGCACTAAATTCTAGTAGGAGGGAAACTCTCAGTCATATTTTTTCTTGCCAAGCAATCCCCCTAAGATGGAGAATTTTTGAGACTGTCTCATTGGAATCTGACTTTGCTATAGATTCTCATTTCCATCTTCATGCATTGTAACTAAGTAGATAAAGTTCCTGCCTGAAAATGGTTAATCTTTTTGTAATGTTTATTCATCACAATGTAGTTTGTGTTCTCCAGTTGGGGAAACTAGCTGTCTGGTTAAGAAGCTGGCACCTCTGAGCAGAGCCATTTGCTGGCAGTACAGGGTAAAGCTAGCGAGAGAAATTTTAGTAAAAGAAGGGGGCTTTTTTGCTTGGAAGATGAGGAGGAATAAGTAAGTTGTAATGGATCGCAGAGTAGAGGATGTCTGCTGCAGAGAAGGAAATATTAAGAATGTGTAAGTACTTTTACCATTTCTGGCATCACTGTAAATGTTTTAAATACTAAGTCTGTAGTTTAATCTTGTATTTAATCTCTCATACTGTGCCGCATTAGTTACTTAAATTAAAACCAAAAAGCTGGCACTGGTGAATTGCTCAGATTGCAGATTTCATGTCAGGAAATTTCAAAATATGAAACAGCTTCAGGAATGTTAATTTGGCCAACTTGCACATTCTCCTTACTTTCTGAAATCTGCTAATGACAAAGCACAGTACATTCAAGTTTCCCATTAAAAAAGAGCAGAGGAAACAGTACTGAGTACAGACAATATGCAGTGAGACCAAGCCTATGTTGCAAAAGCAGCCTTAACTTTTGTAAATCTTGTCATTGGGCACTTGATCTCTCAGTCTTTACTGCTGTAGCTTCTCCACATATATTCTTTGCATTTAATGCCTTACACACTTGAGTTTAGTGGGGGATAATTTAAAATCAGGAGGGAATTATTGTGAAATGCTTTTCAATTCCACCAGTGTTCACAATAGGTATTACAAGTTCTTTTCTCAGCAGCTCTTCATCCTGTTCATCTGCTTCATGTGATCCAGAAATCATACCCTTGTCAGAGCACAGACTTGGAAGATGTATCTTTTCATAAGTATGTGCTGGTAGGCAGGATGCAGCCCTTCCTCAGAGGGCGTTTTCATCTTCTCCAAGTCAAGGATTTCAAGGCAGCTGAACGTCAGTAGTTCTGAATGTTCTGGAAACCCATAGCCACTGGGGTCTGCACCATGATTACGGTTGTCTCAGTTATTTTCTTATTGCTGCAGTCTCTGCTCTGACTCTCCCAGACACCCAGTAGATGTTAATCCTACCCATTTTTTTAGGGTAAAATGGTCATTTTCATTTTTGAACTGGCATCCTTCTACAGCAGCACTTACATATAAGCGTCCTTTCTAACTTCTTTATAAGCATGGTATGCATTTTTGTTATGATTTACTTATACCAAGATTTTCATAACAAGCAAAGAAAGCCTATTTCTTACTGGAAACTAAGTTCCATGAGTGACTGGTGCCTCCTGAATCTGGGGGGGCACCTGCAGAAGCTGCCGATGGTGGTGGCCCGGTTAGGGGGGGCACCAGCCCTGCTGACAGCATCGGTGTTGGCCATCAGGGGGGTCACTGGCCCTGTCGGGGGGGAGGATGGGGGGGACACATGCACCCCCTACCAGTCGCCTATGCTAAGTTCTTGCCAATTTTCAAAATTCAGCCATTTTTTCCTGCATCTGTCAAACAGATATAATTTAAGCTCTTTAATACAGGGATATGGAATTGTTTTACCTTTGCTTGGTTTTGTTCCAAGCTAAAACAAATCAAATTACTGCTAGGCAGTTATCAAGTAGGGCAGATTTCATCTTAGACTGTGAATGCTTCAGAAAGCTATGAGCCTGTGTGAACTACAGTGAAAATTTGTCATTACCTTTACTTTAGAAGGCATGTCTGGTGCCTATTCTAATAAAGCTGACATGTTACAAAAGCTCCCACAGGCTTAGGAACGGAGGCAGAGAAGAATATGTGACAGTTGAAGGAAGTAAATTCACAGGCATCGTATAGAGTTCAGGTCGTTATGAATATTCCACTTGTTGACATTTGATTATTTTGGGCTTGTAAATACAAGTCACAGAATACCCTCAGCTTTCCCAGAACGGTTAAAGTGTTCAGATTTTGAGCTTCATTGGAAACCGCTAGGAAGGCATCTAATTTCATATTTTTGACATATCCTTTATGGGTATGTCAAAAAGAGGCTGGGCTAACAGGGAGGTGGGAGAAGAGAAGAAGTTTATCACTCAAGCTTCTGCCAGAAGTTTTAATTCCTTGCCAATCTTGAAAGAAGTAGAGCAGCTGTGCTGAGTGCATAGACTTCAGAGGCCTATGATTTCTAAAGAGAAAAAGTCAAATAATAAGAGCATCATTACTTAGCACATGAGTTTTCCCTGGTATAGAAAATAATAGCAATGCCACCTTGAAATCTCTTTTTATTCAAATTGCATATTTGTTTTGAATCTAGTTTGTAAGAATATTATGCTAGATCCGCTGTTTATTTTGTTTTCATTAGCTGATTCTACAAGAAAAATATCAGCTTTAACCCTGTGCGTTACACTTTATTTATCAGTTAACCTCTGGGATGTTTTCAGATGATACCAAAACCTACCGAGCCAACTCGCCAGCATGAAAGCCACCCTGAGGAGACGGAAGAAGAATTACGAGAACACCAAGCACTTTTGGAGGAGCCATACAGTGACAGAGTTTCGAGTCAAAAGGTGGTGCAAGGGTTGGCCAATATGGTGCAGGTGAAACAAGAACCCATTGAGAGTGATGAAGAGGAAACAGAGCCACAACAGGAGCTAGAGCCTGGCCAGAGGCAAGCTGAACAGGAGCTGCTGTTCCGCCAGGTATGAGATTACAGGAGTCGAAATATGTATGTGGTAAGCCATCTCTCAAAATATAGCAAGGCAGATTGATGGAGAGCAGTTAGCAAGTTTCTGTTGCTGCCATGTGTTCTATATATAGTGAAGGTAGAAAGAGGTAAAGTATTGGGGATAACTTTGGCAGTAGCAAAACAAAAATTAATACCAGTAAAATTGAAATAGCTAGAATGGCAGCATATGCCAATGGGGCTAAACGGAGTTAGAGAGACGGACAGATTTACCTTCTTTGATTGCAGAAGGACTGGTGCTGACCTTTTCCTTCTTTTATACTTGCCAGACCATCCCCTGCAGTATATAGGATTCAGCAGGGTGGGAAAGCCCTGGAGCACAGACTTGGCATGCTAGATCCAGCAACTAGGTGGTCAGATCTGCTGGGTCCCACTCTAAATGGGAGACTAGCAGTGGTCCAAGGAATGAACCTTACGGTATAGTCTATTTTTGGGACTAAGCAAGGCAGTATTCCTGTGAGAGCAGTTCTGTGAGTGCAGCATCATTTTGCTGCACACAGTGTAACTTGGCAGTATATTAAACAACATGCTTTAATCCATAGAAAATTTGTACTGGTTAAAAAAGGGCAATTATTTGTGAAGCATAGAGAATTTATAACTGGATACATCTACATGTGACACTACATTGCTGTAGTGACGTGCTACAGCAGCGTAGCATTGATGGATGTATACACATGACCAGCAGCTACTTCACCATAGCGGCACACTCCCACGTTATAGTGCACCACTATGGAGAAGTAGCTTCTAAAAATAATCATGCGCTGCATGTATGGCGCATTATGGGGGGGGCGCAGTAACAATGCCACCATCAAGCAATGTGTAGATGCACCCTTTAGTAGTAAACATATTTGAAGTTCCTGTTATGCAACAACACAAAACATTTTGACCTTATCTCAAATGTGTATTAATTGAATATTACCCAGTTGGCGGAGTCATAAACTGTAAATAATTCTAGTCATTGTCATTGATAGATCTGGTGGGGAGATAGACAAGTCAGGGTTCAATTACGTGGCTGTAAACTGAGCTACATTAGAAGAAAACATAAGGACAGCAACAGATTTTGTGTGTGGTCCCTGATAGCGACAGCCCTTAAACACAATGACTATGGAATTACATTCTCTTGTATGAATGTAAGAAAGAAAACACATCAAAGCAAGGCAGGTAAATTAGGCGTTGATCTAGTGTCCACTTAAAACAACAGGTGGTTTTTTTTTTTCATTGACTTGCCTGGGCTTTGTATAGAACCCCTTAAAGCACCCAGGTAATATATTCCAAATTGGTGAAGCCACACTGCTGAGGGAAATAGTCTTCTTACCTGTAATTACAGCATGATGCAACCTCTGGAAATGTTTCACTGTCCCTTGGGGTTCATGTGGAGCACTCTGCACCAAGAGAAGTTGGCTGCGCATTGTATGTAGTTCATTTGCCAAAGTCTCATAACAGAAGAAAGGTTGATTTGCCTTGGGGAAAAGAGAGTGTTAGGTCAAAGCTGTATCCTTTACAGGTTCTTTAATGATTTATACACAGAACAGGGTCCATGCCATTCCATTCCATTGACTGAAAGGTGGACCTAGGTTTAGGCAAGAAAAAAAATTAGTTCTAATTCTCATGCCCCTTTCAACTACAGATGCTTCAGAACCACCTTCTTTACTCATAAACCACCAACACACAACCTGTCCACTAGATCAGGGGGCAGTTATGCTTCAGGAATGGCAGGCCAAAATTATCAAGCTCAATCTGAAGCAGACTAGCAGTCATGCCTGACCAATCTGATTGCCTTCTATAATGAGATGACTAGCTCTGTGGATGTGGGAAGAGCAGTGGACATGATATACCTTGATATTAGCAAGGCTTATGATACTGTCTCCCACAGCATTCTAGCAAGCAAGCTAAGGAAATACAGGTTGTATGAATGAACTGTAAAGTGGATAAAAAACTGTCTGAATTGTTGGGCTCAAAGGATAATAATCAATGGCTCAATATCTAGTTGGCAGCTTGTATCAAATTTGATTTGATAGCAGCCTTCAACTACCTGAAGGTTACATACAAAGAGGATGGTGGTAAACTGGCCTCAGTGGTGGCAGATAACTGAACAAGAAGCAATGGTCTCAAGTTGCAGCAAGGGAAGTTTAGGTTAGATATGAGGAAAAACTTTCTCACTAGGAGGGTAATAAAACACTGGAACAGGTGACCCAGAGAGGTTGTGGAGTCTTGGAGATTTTTAAGACCTGGCTAGACAAAGTCTTGGGTAGGATGATCTAGCTGGGGGATGATCCTGCTTTGAGCAGGAAGGTGACCTCCTGAGGTCCCTTCCAACCTTAATTTCTTCATGAATCTATGATTCCAGTTCAGCTGCTGCTGCCACTTCTTCCCCAAAGCCTCCAGCTGCTGAAAAACCACAGAAGCACCAGTAGAACTGAACCACAGGTTGCCAACCTCTGTACTAGATGACAGAGTGCCAACACAGAAAACAATCCTTTAAAAATAAAGTGGCATTCTTGCTATATTGACATAGCTGCCCTGGCCTAGATCAGGGATGGGTAATAATTTTGGCTGAAGGGCCATTTAAGGAGTTTTGGTGAGCTGTTGAGGCCTGCAAGGATAGCCCCGCCCCTTGACAGGTGCCCTGCCCCCTGGACACCATCTTAGGACCCTCTCCCCTGTACTTTGCCCCCAGATGTCCCTCCCTTTGCCCCCAAGAATTACCCGGGGGGGGCAGGGAAGGGAGGAGGTTTGCCAACTTAGAACCAAAAAAAAAACAACAAATCATATACTAAAAATCAAACATCTATCATAGCATATTTTAACTTTTTAAGCAAATTTGGCTTGATTTATGTGTGGGGGGTTGTGTGGTTATGGTGGGGTGTGTGGGGGTGGACCCCTGCATGCATCTGCCACTAGCAGCAATATCAGCAGCAGGCGATGGCACCCCAGTGGTACGCAGAAGGCAGAGCACCACAGTGGCGCACGGACCCAGCTGAGTCCTGGGATCTGCACATGGCAGCTGGAAGTGGGGCTCCCCATGGCTCACATACAGCTCCTGGGACTGTAGTTTGAGCTGTACGCTGCTGGGGGGAGCCCCGTGTGATGGAACTGCTGGTCTGGCCCCTCTTCCTGCTGCCACAGGCAGCTCCCAGGACTCAGTTGGGGCATCATGGAGCAGGGTCAAGCTGGCCAGGCTCCATTGTGCAGGGCTCTCCACCAGTCCCAGACAAGTCCTGGGAGCTGCACATGGCAATAGGGAGCTGGGCTAGGTCACTAGCTCCATTGCACAGGCTCTGGCCAAGTACTAGGAGCTGCATGTGAGCCACAGGGAGTCCCACGCAATGGAGCCTGCCTGGGCCCCATGCTCCCGCAGACCCAGGCTCCATGTTCCTGACACCCTGGCACAGGCCCCACACCCCTGCCCAGCTGCAGCTTCCCCTGCACCCACCACAGCTTCCCTACCTGCTGCCTGGAGTGCTGTAATGGGGCCAGGAGGAGCTGCTATGACCAGGTAACACGTTGCCTGGACAAGGGAGACAAGGTTGATGTCCGTTATCTGGACTTCATGAAGGCCTTTGACGTGGTCTCCCATGATGTCCTCACAACCAAGCTGTGGAACTGTGGCCTTGACCATCTCACAGTCCAATGGCTGGGGGACTGCCTCCAGGGTTGGACCCAAAGGGTACTAGCTGATGGGAACAAATCACCATGGCACAAGGTTACCAGTGGAGTCCCCCAGGGCTCAGTACTCAGGCTGGTACTCTTCAATATCTTCATTAAAGACCTGGATTTGGAGATGTGGACTAGCAAAGTTCACAGACGACACTAAACTATGGGGGAAGGCGGTCATGCTGGAGGACAGGCTGCGGATACAGGCTGACCTGGACACACTTGCAAAGTGGGCAGACCAAAACCTGATGGCATTCAACATGGAGAAATGGAGGGTACTCCACCTTAGGAGAGAAAAACAGCATCATACTCATAGGCTTGGAGGTGCTAGCACCACAACCAAAAGGGACTTGGGGGTCTTGATTGACCATAAAATGAACATGAGCCCCCAATGTGATGCTGTGCCCAGCAGAGCAAACCAAACTCTGTCATGCATCTACCAATGCATCTCAAGCAAAACCAGGGACATCATCCTCCCACTTTACTCGGCCTTAATGAGGCTTCAGCTAGAGTAATGCGACCAGTTTTGGGCCCCCCCACTTCAGGAGAGATGTGGATAAGCTTGAGAGAGTCCAGAGGAGAGCCACCCATATGATCAAAGGCCAAGAGAGAAAGCCTTACGAGGAAAGGCTGAGGGACGGGACTCTTCAGCCTGGTGAAGAGAAGGCTCAGGGGGAACTTGGTGATTGCCTATAAGTATATAAATGGGGTGCATCAGGATCTGGGAGAACAGTTGTTGCCCAGGGCTCCCCAAGGGATAACTAGGTCCAATGGCCACAAACTTGTAGAAGGCCAATTCAGACTCGATATAAAGAAGAACTTCTTTACAGCCCAAATGTCCAAGGTCTGGAACAGACTCCTCCCTGAGGTGGTGCAAGCACCTACACTGGACTCATTCAAAAGGCATTTGGATGTTTATCTTGCTGGAGTCTTGTGATCCCTGCAGACTTCCTCGATCTGGCAGGGGGGCTGGACTCAATGATTTCACAAGGTCCCTTCCAGCCCCTAATGTCTATGAAATCTATGCTGCTGGAGGCCGAGAGCCAAGCAGTTCCCCAGGTGGCTGCAGCAGTGGCAGCAGCAGTCCCAGCCAGAAGCTATGCATGCTGGCTGGGGCCAGGGCCCTCCCACAGATGAGAGTGGGAGTACAGCCTGCTGCCCCAATGGGAGTGAGTGAGGCTCAGGCCCATGCGGAGCGCAGCAGGGGCAGTGGTGGGCCAGGCCAGATACATTTAATTGGTGGGCACCCACCCTTGGGGCAGATGAAATCGCCTGGTAAGCTGGATCCAGCCCATGGGCCATATCTTGCCTACCCCTGCCTTAGGTTTTCCAGTGTATTGTGGTTGGAGTTCCTTCTGAGCTTCCCCTGTCAGGGCAGTTAAAGTTTCCTGAGATGCCCTCGATCACTAGTTTTGAATTTCACCTCCTGAGTTATCTGTCAAAGCCTAGGCTTTGGTGTCTAGTAGGGACTGATCTAAGATTCTTGGCTTGTTTTATTATTTGGATTATTTCATTTATCCTGTTTTGGTTTTAGACTTCATCATGTAGCCACCAGGAAATCTACTACCTAATATTTAATTAAAAAAAAAAGATTTATTGTCATAAAGTGATGTATTGTCTAAACATCCCACCGCATTTGCTTTACTAGAATGAAGTTAAACAAAACATAATGTCATGCTGCTAACAGTTGGTTGTAGCAAGAACATTCTCCAAGTCTCTAGCATCACCCTACTAAAATAAAAATCTAGATGTGAGAGACAATTCTGATTTAATGGCATAAGCAGTCCTAAAAAGAAAATGTTCTTCAGTGTTAGCTTGTCCCTAACAAGACTGAGCAAACAAGGGCACTTGTCACCATCTTGGGCCCCCCCTACACATGCAATGGGATCTAATGCACAATATACATGTGTACCTCCCACCATGCCACATGTGCATGGTAGGAGCTGTGATTGTGGGATTGCACATTAGATCCCATCACACCTTGTCATCAGTGCATGGGGAGCCTGGGATCACAATCTCCAAGCCCCACAGTCAACATGGGCTGTGGGGCTCACCACGGGGGCAGCACTGGGAACACTGTCCCCACATTCTAGCTTATTGCTTGTTTTATTATACCATTAACTAGGTGAACGTTTGGCTGGGTCACAACTTAAGGTGTGTTTACCTAGTTAATCATGCCTTAACTGTAATGCATAGAGGGAGTCTTAGTCCTGATTCTTGTCTGACCTTCCTGGAGCTGCACATGGCAGCAGAGAGTGGGGCCAGGTCGCTGGCTCCATCACACGGGCTCTGAGTCTGAGGGATCAAAGACCCTTACTTATTTCCCTGATCTAAGGCCTCGAAATGAGAACAGTTCTGCAGATCTCAGGTATATGCAGTTGGCTGGGGAGAAAGGCAGTTGTCCCTTGCATAGCAAAGACCGAAATTATGTAGAGCTGCAGGTATGAAAATCACTATGTAGAATTGTATCCAAAAGCAAAATTTTGCTTTTCAAGTGATGTGATTTTAATTGCCATATAAGGTTGCTTAGACTGTGTTGCTTAAAGAAAACTTGCCTGTAGTAAGGACCTGCTCCAGATCCCACTGAAGTCAACAGGTCTATTTGCATTAGGCACTCTGTTACAGTGTCAGTCCTGTGTATGTAAATGAACTAAAAACTCCATGGAACATTGTTTTAAAAGTTTCATTAAAACATCTTTAATTCAGATATTTGTGCAGATGGTTGTCATATAATAACCCTTTCCATTCTTCCCAACAGCAAGCCCTTTTACTGGAGCAGCAACGCATTCACCAGCTGAGAAACTACCAAGCATCAATGGAGGCAGCTGGCATCCCAGTGTCTTTTGGAGGGCACCGGCCTCTGTCCCGGGCACAGTCCTCACCTGCTTCTGCCACCTTTCCCATGTCTGTACAGGAGCCACCCACTAAGCCAAGGTTCACAACAGGTAATGTCTCAGGATCCATTCAGGAAGCTGTTGAATGACTGTGTGTGGCTATGGGTTCTGGTTATCACTTAGTCTAAGAAGCATTCAGTGGTCATGTACAAGTACAATGGATGAAGCCAGCTCACCATGGGAAAGGCATCATTATTAAAGCAACCTGGTGTTTTGTCACCCCCCAACACCATCTCTGGGAGACCAGGGGCATCTGCCTAGATACCCTGAATCCCTGTAATGATTACAGAGTCCAGGAACTCCACGCATGCCTTTCCTTATTGGGTGAGGTCGAATGATCTGGGTCAGTAATTATGTACCCTTTTGTCCCCCGTTGCCTGGAGAGAAAGATTGCAACCTAGAAGGAGCTCACCCTGTATATATTTTAAATAAGTTACAAAAATAATGGAAATGTAGCCTAGCGTTTTGGCTGTTTACCCCACCCAAAATTAGAATAGTTCACACTACACCATAAGGCTAGTGTAAGCATGAGGAAGAAAGAAGCACAGTGTTATCAATAAATGTCAGCCTGCCAAACAACTACTAGCTTGAACTCTAAAAATACTTTTGTCATCAGATACTGGATATTTTCTGCCTGGGTGGTGGGATCTGCCTGTAGCAGCCAAGCAGAAAATACCCCTGCAAGTGGAGGGAAACTGTCAACTGATGTATCATTATTAGAGGAGGCTTCTGCATTAAGCAGCCTTCTCCTCACCCTGGTGTAGGGCATAGGCCACAGAACAGAGTGGGCATCCCGAGCCATGGCCCGACCAACTTTTAGCACGTAAATTTATATAACCCACAAATGCGCAATTGTCATTCCAGTTAAAACTGTATAGCTATTTTTTAATTGCATAGCAAGCTAAATTAATGTGTTAAAAATTGGTCAGGCCATGGCCCCTGGGTGGCCCACCCTGTTCTACAGCCTGTGGTATAAGGAGAACAGGATATGTCAGAGATAACCAAGTACTTAAATGTAGATAAGGTACAAGTTTCCTCTAAAGACTAAAAAAGGAAAATAATTGACCTTCTATCAAAATCTTTTCAAACAGAAGTCTTGATTTGATAGCTTCTGGTTTGGATAAGCTGTAGTTACACACATTTTTTTCAACTCTTGCATTCAGTAGTTAGGCAGAGTTTACTGTTCTTCCCAAAATAGGAGGAGCTGTTTTGCAAATGGATGTCCTAGCACACCGTGAGTGAGATTGTATTCAAGAAAGGCTAAAGGCCCAAACTGTCAAATCTGATTTTTACTTTCTTGCCATAAGTGGACAACCCAGTATTTTCCGTATTGTTGAAAATAATTTCTTGGCCTGAAAGTTTGTTGGCCTCTAGTAATTGGTTGTAACGTGTGAGTCACCTTTGCCTGTGTGCAGGGCAGTAAAGTTCTGAGTTATTTTTAAATACAAATGGATAAGATCGGTAGGGCATCTTTTAAATTAGTTTCACATAAAGCAAATCAGTTTTAAAAGTGACTACTTTTGAGAACTAATATGAGAATTCTACTGTTATAGTTGCATGCCTTTGGTTTTACTGCAAATTAGGATTTGAATTCATTTTTTTATAATCATCTTTTCTACAAGAGGCTTGAAAACAAGACTTTTGGCCTATGGCCCTAATGAACCAAATCAAACATTAAAATAGGTACCCATAGGAAGGGAGAGCTACTCTAATTAAAGCACCCAGAGTGTTTAAAGCACCCTTGCTGCCATTTTTAAATGTGGGGACTCTGATACATGAGACGCTGGAGTCTGCTAGAGTACGATAATTACCATGCTCCAGCAGACTAGATTAATCGAGTCTGCTCATGTATAGGCACCCATAGTGCTGATTTTAAGAGGGTCAGTCTGTGGTAGATCTTAAAAGGGTCAGTCTATGATAAAATCAACAAAGGAATTCTTCATTTCTTTTAGTTTTTAAATGTTACATTGAAAATCCTTCTAAAGGGTTTTGTGGAAGGAGTTAGGAATGTAGATAGACCCGGTGGTTTGATTCTATATGGTATGCATAGTTTATTATCCGGTCTCTGGCATGACCAGTTCCTGATGCTTAAAAGGTATATGAAAAGCAAAACATTCTGCACCCAAGAAATGTGTAGTGCATTACAGAACATGAAAGTGGACAGAAAATAGCCCCATCCTGATTCCTGCAGGCAGTCAGTTTTATGTCCTGACGCGTGACATTTAATTTTTCCTTCATGCTGGTACATTTTGAATGTAACTCTTCAAGAAGCCCTTACTAGCACTAGTAGCCCCATTGACATTAATGGGAATACTTGTGCTTGTACAATTTTACTCACTTAAATAAGGATTCCCAGGTTGGGCCATTAATTTGCATAGCTACAATTATCCAGTCTCTGATCTCCTGTGAAAATGAGTTCGACAAATTATTCTGATGTTCTGTATTAAAGCATTTTTTATTTTTGATGAAGGCATTTATTCTCTCCTCCTGTGCAGGAGCAATATAATTATCTGAGCCGCAAATCATATGTTTGTTCTGCCAAGAAAAGCAAGTTGGTCATGCTTTAATGCTGACCTTTAAAAAACCAACCTTCTCATGTCTGAAAGAATATTTCTTCCAGCACCAGTTAATTTAATCTGTAATGTCAAGTGTAGTTAAGTATTTTGAGTCTAAATGATCTAGCATTTACTTTTTGTGCGACTGCAGTGCAGTGTCCTGAACCACAGGAAGAGACTACAGGAATTCAAATAAAGTGCACAGGTCTACTCTTTTCTTAAAAAACCTTTAAAAAGTTAGGGTGAGGAATAATATGTAGTACTGCAGAGAAGAAGATGAAATATGACTGAAGTCACTATTTCATCTGGGAAGAGAAGAGGTTTACAACCTACTCCAATTATATTTTTTGAGCCTTGATTTTATCACATGAGGATATGTAGCCCATTCTAGTGCCATCTCTATCCTATACACACACGTGCACATGCACGCGTGTGTGTATGAATGTATGTAACCATTTTTTATGCTTAAAGTATATTATGTATACTCACCCACATTGCCACTATAGTACATGCATGCCATCCCTCCATATACCATATTTACTTTATCAGATGAAGGGATTTTTCCCTTTGTCAGATGAAGGGAAGCTCCTTGTCTTGGATTTGAGTATGGGGGGTGGGGAGGGCTGCCTCTTACCCTCTGACTTCAGCCCTGGCAGGGCTCTAGCCCAGGGGACAGATCACGTGGTTGCTTCGGCCCCACCTTGGCCCAATAGCAGCAGCAGTGGTGGTGGCAGCAACTCTGGGACTGGGCCAGAGCTGCCATTGCCACAACAGCTGCTATGTGGCCAGGCTAGGGCTGGAACAGCCACATGATCTGTGCCTGGGGCTGGAGAGAGCTGGAACCCTGCTGGAGCTGGAGCTGGAAGGTAAGCAGTGGTAGATGCATGCGCCAAGAGGTGCAGGCATGAGGGTAGTAGTAAGGAGCCAGAGGAGCAGGCACTGTGAGGAAAGGGCAGGTGCTGAGGCATGCATGCAGAGGGCAAGCAGCTGTGAGGGCAAGTAGTGAGGGCACAGGTGGCAGGGAGCAAGGTGTGGGCAAGGCAAGAAGTAAGGATCAAGCCACTTGACTCCCCCACTTCCTACCTCCCCAGCTGCCTGCCTCTCCCACCATCTACTTCCCTACTGGCTACCCCCCGCCACTGCTTTCCCCCACTACAGCAGTGGATAGCAGAGGTGCAAATTTAAGATGACCCCCCAAAAATTAGTCTCTATACATGGAAAACTATAACAAATTTGATACGTTTCCATAAATAAAATCTAATTATTGGGGGTATTTTAAATTCAGAGTTGTCCTGTATTTGGATAAATACAGTATATATTCAGTGGTGTCCACATATACATATCATGGCCCCAGGGAAGACTCAGGGTATTCTGTTATGAATTTCAGTGAAGCCGTCATTTCATCCAAAGTATATAGGACTGCATGCGAGTGGTACAAAGATGTAATTTTCATCAGTTTGGGGTAGCAGCATGTCAGCCTAAAGGAGTAACAGTGAAATCCATGTGCCAAGCAGAACTTTTCTTGGTATTGTTTCAGATACCTCCTTCTGAGTGTATTTACTTTCCATATACCCAACTTTAATATCACTGAGTGAAATGGAAATTATGAAACATGCATTTTAGAAAGATAAATTGTTAAAGTACCTAACTTTTCTGTGCTTAAAAATGTTGTTACATCTTATGCTGCTTTAAACTAGCTAAAGATGCAGAGCTAAAGTTTCCTACTTTCAGCCTTACCTATGCATCTCCCTAATAGTGTTATGAAGTGAGCTACCCACGTATTATGTACAATCGGTATAAGCAAACTGCTATTCATACAAAAGCAGGACACCTGTGAGATGATCGGCAAGCCTTTTGGACTGGAGGCAGATATGGGAGCAATGGAAGGAAAACCAGGATGTTGTAAAAAAGCCAATAACTGATTTGCATGTATCCTGATAGTTTCTGGTACTGAGCCCAGTCAGAGACAGGATATTTTGTTAGACTGATTGGTGGTTTAGATCTGTCATCATGTTGTACCTGCATTCCTAAAATAACCAACACCTTAATTTTTCATGGTTTACTATTAAGAATTAAATTCTTGAGGAAGTAAATACCTTTGGAAAATAAGTATAAGCAAAATCCGCCTCCTTCATCCTGTCCAAGTTAAAGCTCACGGTTGAGCCCATCCAACTTCCCATTGAAATCAATGCAGTTCATTTGTTGGGCAGATATAGTCTGTTGCATAGTAAGCTGCTCAGTTGCGGGGATGGGGTTACCTGTTGTCTGGAAACATACTATGCAAACAAAAGAAAACTGTTCAAAATGCATTTATTTCCATTAGCAGTGGGACATGTGATTTCTGCAGGCATCATAAGAATTAATCCTTGGCATGGCTACTTGTTCTGGGCTTCCCTACATTATTTCTGTACTTTCCCTTTCTCCATTAGCTGTGATCTCACTCTTCTTGCCCTGTACTTCTCTTCACTCCCTCTGTTAGCGCACAATATGCTTTGCATCTGCAATCTCATTTACCCGCCTCTAAAATGCTTCCCTAGCACTGTTTTCTGAATCCTTGATTGTAGGTTTCTCTGCATGCTTTGCTGACTGCTAAAGTAATTTGCTTTGATGTTCTGAATTCTGCATTGCTTTCCTCTCTTTTCATTTTTGTTTATTAGAAGCTTTGAATGCCTTGGGGACAGCATTTTAAAATATTAACAATATTGAATGAGAGCAAGAAAGCTATGAACTGAACATACGATTCTGACTTGGTCCTTACTAAGGCAAATCTCCATTGATGTCAGCAGGACTTTGCCTGACTAAGGATCTCAAAATTTCTTTTAATTCATTATGTTTTCAAATGAATCGGGTAATGATGTGAACCATAGCTGTGTTCTCATTGCGTAGTTAATGGAGTACCTCTGCCAAGATGATGCTGTAGTTAGTGAAACTGGCCAGTAGTGTAACCAGGGGTGGATAACTGGGTCATGAGAGGTTCAAAAATGGTGGCAGCTGCTACTAGTGCTGCCACCCAGGATACAGAAACAGTTTGTTACTTCTCTGGAAATGGCCAAACTAGCATTTACTTCTAAAGGGGTGGTTTTCACCTGTAAAGATGACGTTGACCTATATACAGTTTATGTTTTGTATCCATTTTTATTGTATGAACCAAAATTAAACTCCATGGATAACACACCTGCTTAATACCACAGGGGCTGCACTACATTCATTTTCCACTGTATTCTGCACAAGTCAAAGTGCCTAGAGCAGCTAAGAGAAGGTGGAGTTAGGTCTTTGTTTCTAGCTACTTTGCCTCAGCTCTTCAGGCAGGAAAAGTTGTCCACAAGAAAATTTATTTAAATACTTCTTGAATAAAAGATATTAGTCAAAATATTGATATATGTTTCGTAAAATCCCTCAGTACTTATAAAAATATTGTATTAGAAGGAAATATGAGAAGTATAGAAATATGACCTGAAGAAGGACATTTTATACCCTAAACTTGCCTAAAATCTCTCCCAACTGTACAGTCAGTCCAGTAAAAAAGAACCAAAAACTCCTTGCCTCTTAAGAAAAAATGAAGTCAGAAACAATAGCCATCCATTCTGGTAGACCATATTGTCTCTTCAGCTTGAGTTTACACTGTTTGGTTTTGCCCAGCAGCTCTTAATAGGCTTTAATAATGTCAGAATGAAACAAACAGGGAGTCTTGTAAAGCCTTGATTGATTGAATTGTGGTTAACCTAACCACTTAACCATTTCTCCATTCTCAAGGGTCCCAGCACCCAAAGCAACGAGGAATGCCAGATAACTCCCTCAAAGTGTAATGACTGAAAGGTTCATTGCCAGTTTTTGGAGAGTAGTGGAAAGCCAAATTTCAACCCAAGAGTCTTGCTATGCTGCAATCCAAAGGAATGATTGAAGCTCCTTTAGATGTACCATATTTATCTGAATCCAAAACAACTTCAGATTTAAAGCAACCTTCCAATAATTAGATTATATGTGTGGAAAACTATACATTTGTCATAAATTTTCATGTATAGAATATAATTATTGGAGGGCCACCTTAATTCATACCCCCAAAGCAACAGCAGGGACAAGTAGCCAGACTCCCACCCCTTGCCTCTCTTGCTTGCCACCATGGTTCCTGTGCCTGCTGTCCTGTTGCTGAACCCCCTACTGCCACCACCACCATTTGCCCCCTGCCTTCACTATGCCTGTAACTGCTTGGTGCTCCTACCTCCTAGTGTCTTTGCTTGCCTGCTCATGCTGTCTGTCGCAAGTGCCTGTCCCCTTCCCAAACCTGGCATCCCCCACCTTCTGCATCTCCCCACCACTTACCTTCTGGGTAGTGGCTCTGGCTTCAGGACAGTTGGCTGTGGTGGTAGCTCAAGCCTAACTAGGAAGAAGCAGTGGCAGCAGCCTGAGGCCTGGCTAAGTTGGGGCTGGAGGAGTTGGAACCAGAGCCACAGCTGTTGTGGGCAGGGGCCAAGGCGTACACCATGGGTTTTTCTTTCCTCATTCTCCCCACCACACACACACCCTCCCCTGCCATGTGAGCCACCCCAGCTTGCGGTAGGCATAATGGCATAGCACCTGCTTTGGCCCCAAGCCCGGGGCTAATGCCAGAGCTGAGCTGTTGCCTGCCCCAGGCTGATACTCAGATCTTAGACAAGGCTTTTTTCTCCCAGGGTGACTGGAGAGAAAAACCTCATCTTGGATTTGAGTAAATATGGTAACATGAGCTAGCCCTTAGCTAGGTAATTCAGATATCAACAAACTCCAGCCACTGCAGCACAAAAATAGGTACTTGTGTGTTAACTTAAGGTCCTGGATGGATTTTCAACCCATGCATAACTCTTTGCTGCCACAGACTGTACTGTTGGTACATGAGCTAGCTACACCCTTGGATTGCAGTGTAAGTATATACCAATGGCTGACTTTCAAAAGAAGAGCATTTGTTTTGCCTTACCTCTTTAAATGTAGTCAGTCTGCAAATGCATCCTGCATTGTTTGGCTTCACTAATAAGTCAGAGTTTTGCATCCCCTTCAAGAACTTCACCTTGTCATAATTAGGAAACTGCCCCATGTGGTTGTCAGTTGTATATCTGGAGAATGTCTCTCAGTAGTTGCCCCCTTCCTTGGTATCTGATTTAAGGGAAGGCTAGAACCAAACTTGTCACCGTACCTATTATGCTTATTACTTTGCAATGGCTTTTTTATTACTCTTGCATTTGCATGTCTCTGCTGAAATCTGCACTTTTTCCTGCTTTCACCTTTCAACTACTTTCAGCAACCTCCCAGCTTTGTCTTGCTGACACCTGCACTCACTTCTATCTACCTTATTTTATCTTTTCTTAGTATTAGTGATTTTTTTTCCCCAAATGTGTTAAGAATTTTCATCATTGCGCAATTCTTAGTGTCACTTTCGAAATTTTGGCCTCGTTTCTAAGTGTCTAGAATTTTAATTTCCTAGTGTGCTACATTTGCCTGTGAAATTCCTATTTACTTGTGCATACTAGTTCAACTGAATATAAAGTGCTCTAGTCCAAACCAGGGGATTTTTTCCATATGTCTTAACAAAAAAAGTTGCTTTAATTGCAAGCAATTTTGTAACCTTTACTGCAGGCCTTGTATATGACACCTTGATGCTGAAACACCAGTGTACCTGTGGAAACACAAACAGCCACCCAGAGCATGCAGGGAGAATCCAGAGCATCTGGTCCCGCCTTCAGGAGACAGGCCTCCGTGGCAAATGTGAGGTAATAAATACCACCAGAGAAGGGGGAGAGAAGTGCTTGTGTGTTTAGGAACAAGAGAGAGAGTAGACTTGTCTTTTTGATTCTGCAGTCAGATTTTAAACAGAGCATTTTTAGGAACTTATTTTTGCTTTTGAAGATCAGCACATGGAATTTTGCAACTTGGATCTCTGATTTATCTGGACATGCAAACTTTTACACTAGACTTCATTTTAAAACTTTATAAGGTTATCTGTAGATTGAGTTTTGACAAATGTGGCTTAAAATTAATCCATGCCTACATGACTCTGTACTTGAGCATTTGGACCTACCAGAAATACTTTTTCATCTATGTGATTTGGTTACATTACCGAGTCTGTTTCAATCACTAAATGTATAGACTGATATAAAATATATCTGCATTGCACTATTTGCAGTGGGGGGGGAGGGGGGGGGCGTTGCATATTTTTTTCTGGTACTTCCCTGACTAATGTAAAAGATCTGTCAAGCATTGACTTTTGCAGGGGTCAAAGATTGGAGCATATTGTAATTTAGTCTTTTTGTTGTAATTCCAGGCTGTAATAAGAGCAGTTATTGATTGAATGCTATCCTTAATTTTTTTCCATTGTTTTTGTGGCTTATTTTCTTTGAATGTTGTTGATAGTTTAGTGGCCAAGCCAAGCTTAAGGTGCTGCAACAGAATGAGAGGCTGTATTCATAACCAAGGGCTCACAGAACATAGAATCAAGGTGGTTTGTATTAACTTCGTTGGCCATTTCTGCAAAGGGAGAGGAGGAAGCTGACGAACTCAATAAGAAAACAAAGGCATATATAGATTGAAAACAATCAAACTAAATTCTTACAGTATTATCAGTTGTTTGAATACTTGGGGGTTTTTTGTTTTGTTTTTTTCTGACGAGTCTGAATATTATGCAGCTTCCCCTGGTTAAAGCCAATGTCTGGGTAAAAATCATTTCCATGTAGTCAGGAGTGTTAACCACTTGGGGGCAGCATTGTTGTTAGCAAAACTTGTTGTGCCACATCTTTGTTTCCCTATATAGAGAACAAAAAAATGTTTAGATTTGCATCTGAAAAGACAAGCGCAGTTGAAGGTTGGGTTTATTCTCACTCTACTGTGGTGGGGGGCAGTAAGGGGAGCTTAAGACAAGTACTCTATTGTAACCAAGATCAGCTTTTTAGAAGCAACACTTATGCCAAACAGTATTGCTTTCCTCATTTCCTACCTCTGTATCACAGAAATTGTCCTCCTGGGTGTAAAATTCTTTGATCTATGAATTCTAACCAACTATTAATTCACTTTAATTTGGCCCATCTGATTGCTTTTGTGGACAAAAATCTTGGAGTCATTCTTGACACTCAACTTTTTTCCTCCCACATTTCCCTTGTCTGTAATTATCTTCTGAACATTAGTAGAATTCAACCTTATCTTGACCCGTCCTCTTCTGAAGACTTTAATCATGTGTTAATCACTTCCTGCCTCTTCTTTTTAAAATATCTTATGACCATCCTTAATCTCTGGTCTGTAAACTTCAGGGTATTTGGAATGCAGCTGCACTGCCTTTCCAGTCATCCTTTCCCTTCATCTCCATTGGATTCCTAGTTATCTCCCAGCCTGTGCCAAGGATATAGCTCTATCATGTATGAAATTTTGCATCAAATGCTCCACTTTACTCATCTGACATTGCACACCTCCTTCCCACTCCTTCATTTCACTCCTCTGATACTGGCAGTTTATCTTTCCCTCCCCTCTGAACCACTGTATTTGGGGTCATCCATTAACTTGTACTAACCCATTGATTCATCTATCTTGAATACTTTTCCTTATTTCCAAGCCATTGAGTCACTTCCTCTTTCTCCTCATCTTAAAACCCTTATTTGAATTCTGTCTCTGGGTATGCATAGTGGTATGAGTAATTAAGTTGGTTTATATAATGTATTGTTTTTTTATTTAGACAATGCATAATGTGACATTCATATTATCTATAAAAAGGATTTAAGTGGTAGGGAGGAGGAATGTTCCTGACAGGCTAGAGTTTCTCTCTCCTTTCTTTGGACTGACTGAGAGAATACCTTTTGTTCTTTACCAGACGATTGCAGTGTGTGACAAATTTAGCAAAACCAGCTTTATATCTGAGATCTATACCAATAAATTTACACAGAGGGTCTTGATAGGACTGTCTTGGAATCTGGATTGATTTTTTTTTTCATCTTCAGCACTAGGAAGAGAGAGCTCCATCTACACATGTGCCATATTAAAAACAAAAAAAAAGAAACCCTTACCTTACCCTTTAAAGTTTCACTGTTGAGTGTAGCTTTGAGAAGTTAAAAAAAATTACCAGTTAAGGTTGGTTGGGGGTCTGTGTATTATTTTGACTCTTTTGTGCAATGTGTGCAATAAAGTGAGTGCATACAGGATACTCAGCATTTGTATAGCAGTCTAGATAGGCACACTATAACTGATAAATCTTCATCAATCTTCCCAGCAGCCCCATGAGGTATGTTAATATTAGTAGTAGTATGTGTCTGCAAGTGAGAAGACAGGTAGAATGAGTTGAAGTGAGTTGGTTACGGACACGTAACAAGTCAGTGGATAAGAACCCAGTACTTTTTCCCAGTTTGCTTGCTGACTTAATTTTTTCTGCAGTGTATCTGCATTATTCAGTTCAGACATTGCATGGCATTTGTGATTAATGCAGTTATTAAATATTTGTATTTATCCTCCTTTGTCCAAAAGTATGGCCTCATGCCTCAGACACTACATGTCATTTAAATGAGCCTACAGCCCTGCTAAAGAAATATTTTGTGATCGTGTCGTTAAACACTGTTGAAATGCGGATGTACTCGGGACACAGTTCTGGCTAGATGGACAATCTAACTTTGTCATTTCCTACTTCAAGTAGGCTTCACTTTACCTCTTCAACACTCTTCTTGTAATGTTTATATATGTTTCCTAAATTGAATTAAACTAATTCTTAAATTCCATCAGTTGTATCTATTTATGAGACAGTTATAGAACAGAGTGCACAGAAAGCATATTTATGTATATTACATAGAATTGGACAACATGACATAACAATTATAGCCCCATGTGCACCTGTGAATTAAAAATGAAATTCCACTCTGCTTTCTTTTGCGTGTTTATAGATTGATGAGGGGATCATCTGTTCAGTGGACATTTCCACTCCTTGTCCATGCTGCATGCATGCAGAGTGCCAGTGGATCTCTGGCTGCTAGCTTTTTTATCATGCATTCAAGGCATGCATTCCTTGAAACTTTGGAAGTTGTCCAAAATAAAACTCATCTTCATCATCCTGCTG